AGAGACTAACAAATTTATTAGCTTATGCTCTAATAAATTTGTTAGTCTCTAAGGTGCCACAAGTACTCCTGTTCTTTTTGCGGATACAGACTAACACGGCTGCTACTCTGAAATAAGTTACTGAGGAATTGAAGAAAAACAATAAAGCAAGGAAAATGCATCACAATGTACTGAAGTGCCATTTAGTCTTTATAGTTGGTATTTCACTAGAAAATGATCTGTTGTGCAGTTTTGTAAGAGAGACGTGCCTGCTTCTGGTTTGCGAGTTACGGGTGTGTGACTCAGTGCAGTATGAATTAGCAAGGGTCTGCTGTGTTCGGTTGTGTAATGGAATCTCGGCTGCTCTGTAACACACTTGCAATAAGCAGCTTTTGAGACTGATTAATAGCTGAAATGAAATTGAAGCATTTAATCAATCTCTGCAGTCATCTCCTTCTTTTTATGCTACAAAGCAACAGAAATGATCCCTTAATTTTTCCCTTGTTCTTTATCTCTCTGTTGTTTTGCTTTAATGAATTTAGTGCTATTCAAAGGTGTCACAGTGATGGGGAGTGAAGTCCTGTATTTATCTACAGAACGTGCAGTGCAGGCTTCCCCCACATCACTCCTCGAATGTATTTCAACCCCAGTGAGGAAGGACCACCTCCTGGGGGAGTGAGACACTAGTTCTATCTATCTCTGTGGCCCGTCCACTCTTATCTCCTTTGTGGGGACCAGCTGTTAAACTGTAAACCTCACATATAATGGAAATCATTTCAAGCCAGGGGGTGCAGCAGCACCCCCAGCACCCCTAGTTCCAGCACCTGTGCCAGCTGTTGTGGGGGATCAGATTAGATGAAGGGGGTTTCTGTGCATTAAGAATCAGATTGAAAACCTCAGTCCTGGGCCTGATTCTGATCTCATTTATAAGTCAGGTGTTACCCCTATTGAAATCAAAGGGGTTACACCAATGTAGAAATGGTGTGTGGTTAGGCCTCATGGCACGTTCACTGTTTCTCAAAATATCCAGGTAGTTTTATCATTAGCATCTTTGATACATAAGGATACAAGTCCCCCCCGCTTTCCCCACAACCCAGATCTCCAACTCAGCTAGTTCTAATTTACACTGTGAAGGATCTGGTCCTTTGTTTTTTATCCTCTAGCTTCATTAAGGAAGCAGTGAAAATGGTGCACACATACAAATGAGGCATTTCAGTTGCTTTCCATCTGGAACTTTAATGCCTTTCTTTTAAAGGACAGTGTCATCAAAAGAAGAAAGTATAAGACTGAACAATTCTCAGTCGGGGTACCAGAAAATGCCAAATATTAAATAAAGGCATTAAGGCCGACAGCACTAGAAAGGTTAGTCTGAACACATCAAAGCTTCTTACCAATCCATATAGATTTGGGACAAATAGAACAGTTTCTTACGTTTCACGGTGTTAACCGCATTAATGGAGATTAGGCTTCTCAGGACCAAGAATTAGGAATAAGGGACAGAAGATGACCTCTCCTTCAGACAAAGGTAAATGCACCAATGATTCTTTATTGATACTGAGATTTATTTGGTCAGCCGGCACAAATCCTCATTCCTTCTGGAATATGATGACCAGAAGGGTGTTAACTTGCCTCATCACACAAATCAAAGTAACTTGTAACACTTATTCTGCAACATGTTCTCCAGCTCAATGTTGGGCTGATTTACACAACTGACAAGCTTCTATTCCTGTCCTTCGCGGTTTCTTCCCTATCACACCAAACTTTGGGCCTGATCTTTTGAGGGGATGAGCACTTTCTTCAGCATGCTGAGGGACCTCAGCTTCTACATACTTCAAAACTGGTCTTGGTATGAGGGGCATCTGGGGGAAAACATGAGGAAGGGGTCCATGGAGGGTGGCACGGAAGGAGTCAAGGGAATGGGGAACACAACAAAGAACATGCAGAAGATGTGGGGATAAGGAGAGGAACAGGTAGCAAGTGTTTAAACTTATCACTTTTTTGGTTTAAAATGAAGGACTTAAAGATTTCAATGTAGATAAAAGCCCCCTTTTCTTTCCCACACCAACTACCCCCAAAGAATAAGTTACTAGAAGACTCCAAAATCTTATTTCCTATTCAAGGGATCCATTTCCATTAATCCCCTAGTCACCAACTATTTTGACCTTGACTTCCATTTGGATACAATTGAGCTGGTAAAGTTACATTTGGATGGGTGGGGGCAATAGTGAGTGATGAAGGATTACATCACTATGTAGCACGACAGAACCCCAGGCATGGACCAAGATCGCATTGTGCTCAGCGCAGACAAATATGTACAGGCTGAATCCTTTGACGGTTCATTTCCAGGCACTTGACTGTTTCGAGGTCTGAAAAGGGGCAGTTCGTATAAAGCCATTTTAATATTATTTGGGGGCATTGGCTGGTCTCCACTGAAACACGCTACCAGCCTTAACTCTTTTTTAACCACAGGTTTTTGATTGCAAATATATGGAGTACTTACACAGCACAGAACTCACCGGTGTCATAATGAACAATCAGGTCCTTGGAGTGATCACCTATCTCCAGCGGCTGGAACTCTACCGTTAGCTGCATGGTCTCCCCTACACCCAGTGTCCCAATGCAGGGCTCTACAGAGAAAGGGCTGCAACACAATGAAAATGACACATCAGGCCTAAACTGGGATACACCCTTTGGTGGCTAGCAGACATGCAAACTGAGTATTAGGCCTGGTTCTCCTTTGTTACACCTGTGTACATTAGGAGGCGCTTAAATCAGGGTTTGTAAGATCAGAATCTGGCTCATTGACCCCAACTTTCTGCAGAGATCTCACACCTCAAATTACTACTCCGATGTAATTGGTCTGTAATCAAATTAATTCCCCTCCCCCAGCCCCTTGTAAATTTCCATTTGTATGGGCTAATTCTGTGATGGTCTATAGAGTTCTAGAATCAGGCCCATTGAGTCCCATTCTAGCAGCTACTAAAAAAAAATGAGTCAGCAAGTGTAACCCACACACCTTCTGGGTGTGGTGTCCTGTCCCATCTAGTGGCACCAAGACCACGTAGCGAGAGGAAGAGATTAAGTCTGCTCTACAGCCTTAACTAATAGCTAGTTGGCTTTTAGCTCATGTGGTAGCGACTCATGCATTTAGCTTCAGAGGTCCCCGGTTCCATCCCACCCCCGACGACTGGGGTCTAGCAGCATAACAACTGGGGGCTCGTCCAGGATTTCCCCTGGGAAGTCTCTGAAGCTTAGGATATGCTTCCTCAGCTAGGGGAACTATGTAACCCACATGCCTTCTGGGAGTGGTGTTCTGTCCCATGTAGTGGCAATGAGACAACTTAGAGCAGTGGTTCTCCAACTTTTGTACTGGTGACCCCTTTCACATAGCAAGCCTCTGAGTGCGACCCCCCCCCTTATAATGAAACACTTTTTTATATATTTAACACCATTATAAATGCTGGAGGTAAAGCAGGGTTTGGGGTGGAGGCCGACAGCTCGCGCCCCCCCATGTAATAACCTTGCAACCTCAAGGGGTCCCAACCCCCAGTTTGAGACCCCCTCAGGGGTCCCGACTCCCAGTTTGAGACCCCCTGACTTAGAGAGAGCAAGAGAAAGAGCTTGAGTCTGCTCTCTAGCCTTAGCTAAAAGTCAGGTGGCTTTTAGCTCATGCAATAGAGGCACACGCACTAAACTCCAGAGATCCCTGGTTCAATCCCACCTGCTAACGACTGGGGTCTGTCGGTGTTATACAAGCACAATTGCACAACTCTTTTTTGAAGAACACAATAATCCTAACAGCAATTAACTCACATCAGAGACTAGACTGGCTTAAAAGCTGGTTTTTTATCTGAGGTTTTCCCAGCTGATCTTTTAGACTAAAAGGACTAGACTATTTTCACAAAATGAAATAATTATTAATTATTTACTGAGTACTAGCAAGGAACCTTGCATTGCACAAGGCATAAATATCGGAGATAGTCCCTCTCCCAGAAAGTCTACAACCTAGAAGGCTGACACAAAGAAGAAAAGACTGCTAGGAGACCAGAGGAGGGAATGATTAATGGGGTTTTTAATCTATAGTTTTCATTTTTTCAATTTTAAAAATATCCTGTTTATATTTAAGAAGGATCATAACCTATTGGTATTTCAGTGACAGTTAATTCTAAGAAGTAAAGGACTTGAATCAATGCAGATGAAAACTGTAGCTAGAGTGGTATCTCCGCATGTAAATAAGTCAGACAAGAGAAGAGAATACTTCAATTACAACCTCAGCAATTGAGTCTCTAGGTAACTGAAGTGTCATTGACAGGAGGATTTCATTGTAAGTGAATTGAATGGGAGAGTCTCTATTTAAGCACAGGTGATGCAAGTTGTAATTCTGGATGGCAGGAATCAAGAGTTCAAGGGACACCATCATAGGACCTAACCACATCAGCCACACCATCCGGGGCTCGTTCACCTGCACATCTACCAATGTGATATACACCATCATGTGCCAGCAATGCCCCTCTGCCATGTACCTTGGCCAAACTGGACACTCTCTACGCAAAAGAATAAATGGACACAAATCAGACCTCAAGAATTGCAACATTCAAAAACCAGTAGGAGAGCACGTCAATCTCCCTGGACACTCAATAACAGACTTAAAAGTGGCCATTCTTCAACAAAAAAACTTCAAAAACAGACTTCAACGAGAAACTGCCGAACTGGAATTAATTTGCAAACTGGACATGATCAAATTAGGCCTGAATAAAGACTGGGAGTGGATGGGTCACTACAAAAAGTAATTTTCCCTCTGCTGATACTCACACCTTCTTGTCAATGGGCAATGTCCACCTTGATTGCATTGGTCTCATTAGCACTAAAAAAGTAATTTTCCTCTTTGTTGATATTCACCCCTTCTTGTCAACTGTTGAGAATAGGCCACTTCTACCTTAATTGAATTGGCCTCGTTAGCACTGACCCCCCCGCACTTGATAAGGCAACTCCCATCTTTTCATGTGCTGTAATATATACACTGCTTACTGTATTTTTCACTCCATGCATCTGATGAAGTGGGTTTTAGCCCACGAAAGCTTATGCCCAAATAAATTTGCTAGTCTCTAAGGTGCCACAAGGATGCCTCATTGTTTTTGCTGATACAGACATGGCTACCACTCTGAAACTTGCTAAGTGAGTTTGTAGAGAACATTGGCCATGCTTACTAGAAGTACTTGGACTGCTTAAGCTCTTTCCAATGTGTTAGAAGTCATTAAAAGAATCTGCTGTGCATTAATATTGACATAAAAACATGCTGATTTGAGACAACATAATAAGGGACTCCTGGTTGATCAAAGGGAAGTCTCAGCATCTTAATGTCTTGGAATCATTTTCTGGATAAGTCAGATGAAATACATTTCTGGGCAAGGACTGCCTGGTTTATGGGGGGAGGGGCTTATGGCATCCATTGAAAGGACCAAGGTCTATTTGTTTTTAATATTTTGCTGGTAGTTAAGTTATCACCCTGAAAAGCACAATCTGGAGTGTCTCACTGTGGTTTTGAAATGCAATTCATATATAAAAACAAGGTGAACAGTTGGAGCATGGCACACGCTGAGTGTTATCGATAGGAACCCATGGACAGCTGAGGAAATTGCTGGAGGTTTTGCTCATTAAGGATAAGTAGCTCCAATTAAGGGCCATTAGTCAGTGAGAGCTTTGCCACTGACTTCAATGGGAGAAGGACTGGAGCTTGCAGTTATGTCTGCACTGCAGTTGAGAGTGAGCCTCATAGCCAGATAGACAGACTCCCACTAGGAGGGCTTGAGCTAGTGCACTTAGAAATAGTAGCGGGGATGTTGTAACAACTCGCGCTCTCAAGCCCCCAGGCCTCAGCTCAGGACAGCCCAAGTCTGCACCGGAGCCACAACATCCATATTGCTATTTATAGCACACTAGCTTAAGGCTCACTAGCTCAATTCTGGCTCCCCGGGCTGGGAGGTTCGTTCCCAGCTGCAGTGTAGCTCTATCCCAAGAGGCTGAGTGAGGAATCTTGGGCTGTTGGCTGTGGAAAGCAGCACTGGCCATTCTGAGCCCCAGTGTTAATGGATCGCCAAGTGCAGTATGATCTGCATTCCACTTACCATGGCTGGATCCCATGAACCCCTATGACTGGTGAAAGCTGTCTCGGGCTCCCCAATAACTGCTCTTTAATGTGATGGAGGGAGTTGAATTCCGATGACTAGGCATCAGCTAAAACAGCGGTTCTCAGTCAGGGGCTGTGGCCCCCTGGGGGTCCATGAGCTCTTTTCAGGGGGGCCGTGGAGCCCCGCGGCTGAGCCCCAGCATTGAAGCTGGAAGCGGCGCAGGGCTGAAGCTGGCAGCCCACCCCCACCCCAGCCGGGAGCAGCATGGGGCTGAAGCTGGTGGCCCCCACGCCCCAGCTGGGAGCAGCCCCTCAAGCCCCCAAAGCCAGGAGCAGTGTGTGGCTGAAGCTGGCAAACCTCCCCCGCAAGCCAGGAGCCCCAGCACCCCCCTGAAGCTGAGAGCCGCACTGGGAGACCCCCCCCCTCGCCCATACACAGCCCCAGATACTCCTGCACCCTCAGCTACCCCTTTGCCCGCACACAGCCCTGAGCTACCTCCTCCCAGCACCCTGAGCTACCCCCTGCCCACACACAGCCCCTAGATAGCCCCTGCCCGCACACAGCCCTGAGCTACCTCCTCCCAGAGCCCTGCCTGCACACAGCCCCTAGCTACCTCCTCCCAGCGCCCTGAGCTACCCCCCTGCCCACACACAGCCCCTAGCTACCTCCTCCCAGCGCCCTGAGCTACCCCCCTGCCCGCACACAGCCCCTAGCTACCTCCTCCCAGCGCCCTGATCTACCCCCCTGCCCGACACACAGCCCCTAACTACCTCCTCCCTGCACCGTCGAGCTACCCCCCTGCCCGCACACAGCCCCTAACTACCCCCTCCCTACACCCTGAGCTACCCCCCTGCCCGCACACAGCCCCTAGCTACCTCCTCCCAGCGCCCTGAACTAACCCCCTGCCCGCACACAGCCCCTAGCTACCTCCTCCCAGCGCCCTGAACTAACCC